TTGAGACATTTCGCGGTAATGTTATCGCAGATGGGATAATTCTAGGGGTCTATGATTAAGGAGGTTCATAAATAGACATATACAGCATAAATGTATATTAATGTTCATACTTTAAATTTAAATAAATTATATGTACATATAAAAGTTATAATATTATTCTAATTTTATTGAATACATTTTTATAGCTTACTTTACTTTCTTTGTAGATATTTTTATTGTTATAAACTAAAATTTAAAAAATAGTAACCTAAGGCAAAATCTAAGGCACAGTTGCATCAATGTCACTTTGACTTTAAGCGAGATTTAAAATTCTATCTGTCTCGTTTTAAAAAAAAGAGACAGAGACAGAAAGAGTTTTAAGTCTTGCTTAAAATCAAAAAGTAATATTGGTGCAACCAGACCTAAATGTTTATATAAGTATGCAAAGTTCATTACGATTTAGCGACTACAATTTCAAGCGATTACAATTTAAAAACAAATAAGTATTTTATTTATCTAATGAACAACTAATTTCTGCATTACAATGTGAAACTTTATAAATTATTTTAAATATTCATTACTTTAAATACGCCACTACGGTCTGAATGTTAAAATGTTAAATTATTATATATATTAATTTAAATGAATTAATTTCAGAAGTTATTGCGTGCCGATATGGTTGTCGGACTTTCAACGCAATCAATCTGAAATATTAATAATCCCCCCAAATTTCACAAATTTAATCTTAAAAAATTGTAATAAACTTATTGCGAAAAATATTGCCTCGGCCGAAAGTCGAACTTGGATCATTATAATTATAATTATAATGTCTGAAATTAATTCATTTAAATGAATATATATAATAGTTCAACATCTTAGCATTCAGACCGTAGTGACGCTTCGTATTTAAAATAATGTATCTAATGGTCTTATTTCCAATCTTATTATTATTTAAATTCATATAAAATAACTAAAATTTTATTATTTTACAATACATTTCTATATGTCTCTATTAGAGCAAAGGTTTTTTAAATACAATACTATTTCTTAAAATAACTTTTGATTCAGATGATAAACCGTCATTAAAAATTTTTTGTATTCTTTTATATGAAATCTAGAATAATTTGTAATATCTTCATAATTTTTTTATTATTTTGAAATATCTATTGTACCTCCTTAAGCCAACTTCGACCTGGATTTAAGGGCTTGATCCTTGAAAAGTATATCTCATATGAAAACCAAGAAAGTTTATAATATACGAAATACTATTATGTACTTCCGTATATTTTCGTCTGTAATACTTTTCAGGAATCTAGACTCTGGAGTGAATGGTTTCATACGAAAAGAAAAGAGATTGTCTTCTCGAGGCAGAACAAAAGTTTTTCCTGGGAGAAAGCCATTTCCCCCAAGCGGAAATAAACCCAGCGAAATATAGTAATCGTAATTTATAATAAATATAAGCAATGTCGACATTAAAGTGGTAGAACTTTTTGAAACTTCTTCGAAAAATATTTTTAAAGATATGTACGTCTTGTTTTTAAAAATTGAATTCCTGGTAAAATCGGATAAAGATTCGTATCTATCGCATAAGCAATCCTTTTCGATATATCCATAAAAAAAAAGAATTATTCTTAATAAAATATAAAGGGATGATTTATTGTTATAAATAAAAAAATTTATTATTTTCAAAATATTTTTAAGATCGATACATACTACAAAATATTTTTTGATTTATCTTTTAAAAATGTCTCAATTTTTCTGAGGAATTCAGAACGTCCTTCAAAGCATGAAGGGTCTACCTACGATGCAAAAGAGTTTACTATTAAAATATATGAAAATGTATGCAGAAGAAATCCGCGAGAAATATCCATCTATCTTTACAATCATTATAATATATTATAATACACGCATGAAGAGAATAACATAATTTGCAATTCTAAACAAAAATTAACAAGCGTGATAATATACAATGTTTTCGATTTCGATAAACATTGTAATATTTATAATTTTGAACAAAGTTATCTAAAAACTTGCGATTTTACGAAACTCGATTACATGAGATAAGCATGAATATGACGTCTTAATATGATTTGAACCATCAAAGTCCAAATTTTTTGATACGGCTATTTGCTTCTTTGCTTTTCTAATTTAATTATTAATTTTGATGACTTTAGATTCCGAATTATCAGAACCATGCCAGGAACCAGTTAAAAAACGTGGATTCGACGCGTCTTACATTTTATGAGTATATTCGCACATCCTCGCTAATTATGTTTGATTGCATCAGCAACCGTCTGAATTAAATGTCCGAACAGATCAAAGGTTACATTAAATCAAAATGAATGTGACTCTGATAAATCGAAAAATGATTTTTAATTATCATTTTGACTATTTTAATATCATCAAGAGCTTTCAATTGTTCTGCTTATGTAAACTTAACTTTGTGATCCATTGTTTTTTCGCTTATTTTGTAGCGTTTTCTCTTGGCTGCATTATAGTGTATACTGATAATGAATGCATGTTAAAGCCGTCGTACATAAATTGTAAAGATGTATATTTAATGTAAGTATAAAACGAATTAAATCATGAAATCCTCAATTTTATTGTGCTGTTAAAATCTGTATTTTATAATTCGAAATATATGAATTTTACTTCTACACAATTTAAATCAGTGTACAACAGCTTTAATATGCACTCAGTGGTGCACTAAACCAACCAAAAGAAAACGGTATTAATTATTCATCTGCGATTCTTTCTTTTCTCAAAAAAAGAAAAATTCAGCTAAACAAAATCGGATCTTAATAATATTTATTAAAAGCTATCTTTTGCAAATGCTCGAATGAACGTTCACATTAATTCAACACCTCCTGCGTAATTTCATGCAATTATGCATTATGCGTCCACGCACATTTAATGATATTCGATGGAAATAAATATTCAAGGATGACTTTTTTTGACTTTAAGATTCCACAAACAAAACACAAGTTTTTATGATGTTAAAATGATATCGAAATAACTCTAAAATGATCACTAAAAAGATATTTTTTCATTCATAATTTATTTCAACATCTGACATTATCATGACTTGATGATTCTGCAATGTTTTTGAGTCCTGCATACTCGCCCCATACAGAAAAAATTCTTGTAAACTATATTAAAATGTATTTTTTAATAAATATTTCATAAAACAGTCAACAAAATAGATTTGTAAAATTTATCGAAAATTTCTCCTTGTGTTCCGGTAATTAATAAATGACCATATATTTGAAATTAAATTATATCTATAAATGAAAAACGAAACAAGGTATATGACAGCTGTTGAATTGAGATAAATATGATTTTATTCCATTCCGAAATAAAGAGTTTTCAATATATTTTATAATTTTACAAATATATTCTATTCAATACAAATATTATGTTAATAAAGATATATTATTTCAATATATTTTACCAGAATTTTCGTTACGTGTATTTCTCACTTCTGACATCATCAATCCGAAGATCCACGATAAATAGTCAAAAACCTTAATGAATGAGCTCACTCGGTTACAAAAATCCTACGATCAACATTTCATTCTCAGAAATCAACAGATTATCATAAGCTCAGATTTTCCAAATCAATATGTTCTTGTTCTGGAGGATCTTCCGATGCCGCTTCGTTCGACGATTAATATCAGTTAGTGCAGCTAAAACCTAGCCATTTCAAGAGACGCATGAGCGCAAAAATGTAATTGAATAAATAATTTATTTTTTTATTTTATCTCCATTATTAACAAACCGTTTTTATGTGTTTGATTGGTGTACGAGCCTTGAATGTTCTTTCACTCTCTTCTTACAATGATATCGATTCTTTTTACACAAAAATCATTTATTATTACGTACATCAACTATCTTACCGATATAAATAGTTTTTATATAGTTATGTATTCTTGTATTTACTGTTCGTTTATTAGATTTTTTTTTTGATTTTTTGATAATAGTTCTTTGACATAAAATCTCTCACGCACCTTCCTCTTCACAACTTCTTGAATTAAATCTTTAAATCAGTTCTTATGGGTTTTCAAACTACAAAAATTGAAGCAGAATTTTTCAATAACTGTTTTTTCAATAATTGTCTCTGTTGTTATTAACGGCTGTCGATTAACAGATATAATATCTCTCGTTTGTTATTCGTAAATTAATGGTTTCTTATCATAATGTTGTATTTTCATAAACACATCACTAGAAATTTGGAGATTAAAAAATGTTAAAATTTCTTAATAATTTCTTGCGTCAGTCATTTTTTGATATGGAATTAAAAAAAGTCAGAAAATACACGCAACGTTTTTACAAGAGTTACATTTATATTATATAAATGACTTTTCGATGATAAAATCGTTAATTGATGTAATAGATTAAATTTTTATGTAAAAAATTATAACAATTATAATGTTATAACGGTAACAATTTTCTTTGAATTTTTATTAACATACAAACAGAAAAATTAATTTATAATACGTTTCACACACGAACAATGATAAATGAAAATCAACAAAAATTGATAAGAATTACATACGAAGTCTCCACTTCATATGTAATTCTTATCAATTTTTGTTGATTTTCATTTATCATTGTTACGCAATAGATTTAAAAATTAATTAAATTTAGAATTTTATATCATTTATGGAAAATCACTCAAAAATTACTAATTTTATTGTTATCTAACATAATCTCCCTTCCTTTCTTTTTATCTGAAGGACGAAAGGGCGGTGAAATAAGACATGGATGCCTGCATCATCTTAAAATTCAAAATAATTACATGTATCCACACAGTACTATATAATGTTGTATCTACAAACAATTTGTTGAATTGAAAATAGCTATTCTTACCGAAGCATAATTCGCCATCGATAACACGTACATTTTGCCAGCCGTTAATGTACAAGGCACAAAACCTCTGTAAAGTAATATACTCAACAGCCGTGTCGTTCTTCGTGACGTTTTGTACCACAACATGTTGTATCTACAAACAGTAACGCAACGCATTACTTTCTACAATAATCAGCTGTTTTCTTTTAAATAATTGAACTGTTTAAAATAAATTTAGAAAGAACGAACGACTTAAAGAAATAGATAATAAAATAATTTTAAGGACACTTAAATAAGCTGAGAAATAAATAGAACAGTTATTCTTCTACGCTGCTGAAGTTCAGAAAGCAAGAAATTTTAGATACTTTTTCCCGAAAAATCTATCTGCATTTTACCACAGTTTTGTTTTATTTTTCCACATCGCGCGAATAACTTTGGTGCGACATATTTACGCTTTGTGGAATATATCTGCACTATGGTCCATTATTTTTTGGCCGGGATAACTCAAAACGAAAAGATGTATGAAAGCACCTATTACCATCGCTACGTATCTGACCATCTCTTCTTTATGATTCATTAAGGAAATTATCTGCAAAACAATTAAATTCAATCAATGCTATCTAAGATTTGTCATTTTGGCTTGACACTCGGCGTTCCTATTACTTTCTTTTTTGTTCATTATGACAAAGAAAATAATAATCTAAGTAGAATGCACAGTCATAATATCATAAGACGTCATCATATCCGGTAAAAAATTGTTCATGCATGAGTATGTATAAATATGTACAAACATACGTAAATATTCATAACCATGTACGATTATATATAAAATATGTCTATACATGTTCATACATTCCTCTCTCTCTCTTTCTTTTGTAAAATTACTTTTTAGTATAATAGAAATAATAATAATAATGTGAAAACATAAAAAATAATTAAAGGAATAATTTTCGCATTGTTCGTGTAAAAAAAAACAAGTTTGTAAAAAAATTGCTCATACACAATTATGCATAATTTTACATATAATTATACGTAAGTAATTTTTTTACATTTCTTCAAACTTGATCTTTTCTAAAACAAATAGTGTGAAAATTACCCTTTTAATTATTTTTAATTATATTTTCACATTACTATTATTATTTCTATTGTACTAAAAAGTAATTTTACAAAAGAGGGATGTATAAACATATATGATATTTCATATATGATTATACGCATGTTTATGAATATTTATGTATGTTTATACATATTAATGCATTTTAAAAATTGTTTACCGGGTAACGTCATTTGATACTAAAAATGAACTTATGATTTACATGACGTCAGTAAAGTCATTAATATAATATCCTTATGATAATATTATGACTTCTGTGTTCTACTTGGAAGGCGCGAATGCTGTCAAGCTTAGAATTAAATTTTAGGCTAGCTCTGTTCAAGAATGATTGGTGACATAAAACAATTTCTAATTGACAACGTATACTATAGCTATTAGCTCACTTGAATTCCCAAGAGACTCATAATAAGGATAGTAATGAAGAGTAACATAAATGAATACATTTCAAATAAAGAATTCAATAAACGGGCATATCTGAAAGACACACAAACAAATGAATCAAATGCAAAACATTTTGCGGTATCCGAAAAGAATGCAAACCAAAAAGAATGCAAAACTAACTGAATACTCAGCTGGTGTTTCCGCAAGAGAAGTACCAGTTCGTGATAAGTCTGGTCTTCATAATCTCGTGAGTTGCTCTTATCACAAATTACATCCTTTACATCCTCAACAAAATAATTGTTTTTCTTTGAATTACTTTCCGGGACTAGATTTTCTAGTCGGTGCCTTTGAAACATGATTAAAATTTTATCTACGATATGCGAATATTTAAGAAAGAAAACAAATTTTTCTTTTACATTAAAGATTCTCAGAAAATGAATGGTATACATATACGATACCCAACAGCGGCGAACAGACTGCACGCATGTTGCGCGAGCGACATGTAGCTCGTATCGGTTATTACCATGAGGCTCATAGTCAGTACAGTTGTCAGATATGAATGGAGTAATACAGGATAATAATACACCTCTCTGTCGAAGCTGTAGTCGATATCGAACAGGTATTTGTAAGAGCGCGATTTATTAAGAGGAATAAAGAGATCCAATAATTGCGGTGTTACTGGGATCAGCATGTAAAGACTCATCAACGAATAAATCATAACTGCAACTCGCATTATTATTACGATGTAAAAACGTACAAATAAACAATCAAGCCGTATTATTTAGATTCAGGTACAATGTACAGTGTGCAATTTAGAATGATATATGAATAGTGAGTGAGAAACGTTAACATGAATCATGATGAGTCGGCGTTAAAAGCCGCACGACATGCGTGTAATTTGTTTCATCATTACCGGCGTAACTTATCGTCATTTTTCTTCCTACGATAGCGTATTCGTGCATAATTTGTATCTCCAAAGAATGCGTAAAAATTCGCCAATGATAATCGATGAGTGACAACAGGTGTTCTAGCTGAGAAACAATGCAAAACGAAGGATACAATCCGCGTCTTGTGATTTTTAAGGGCTTAGGCAAAAGAAGAAAAAATCTTACATTCTTATTTTTAAAAACTATGGTAAACAATTTACAGTAAGCGCCAAATGTAATTAACATTACAATGAAGCATTCACAGTCCTCGGTTATGGTTTGCCATCTTTCAGACAGTCTTACAAACTGAAAATCGATGATAATAATTGTGAACATCTTTGCACGTCTTTAGAATTTCCACCTACCTGCATTAACAATAAGTTATCGATATGCAGAATGGAAAACGTTAATTTTTTGTTACTTTTCCGTTACTTTTTATAATAAACATGATGTTGCAATTTTTTACAATTAAACCCTAAGATAGTTTAAACCCTAAAATTGGAAAGATGCTCTCTCAAAAAAATTATTTAAAAAGTTTTATTTAAAGTCGTCTTTCAAGTTTTCGTTTTAGTAATTACACGTGTGATATGTTAAAAAGTGATAATTTAAAATTTGCGAGACAGTTAGAGGTCAGCCGCATAATTTTATTGATTGAATTGCTTTAGTATGTTTAATTGATATGAAGTAACACACACACATTCAAGTTTTTTTTTGCAAAAAAGTGAATATTTAAAATATTTTAAAATTTTTTGTGTTAAAAAATTTAGAAAGGCGGCTTCGAAATTAATGATATATGTTTCTTTAATCACGTCTAAAATATATTATACATATGCTAACCATATGGAGATACTCTTTCTCTCTTTTCTTCTCTCTCTCTCTCTCTCTCTCCCCCACCCCTCTCTCTCTTTTTCTCTTCCTTTTGCAAATTTTATTCACGCCACGGTTTTTACACTGACACACACAGTTTTACACCGACAATATAAAGAACGGCAGGAATTTACCTGGAGAAAACCGATGCTGAAAACAAAAGACGTTATTATAGTCGGCAACAATATTTTCATGAATTTACTTTGCGTTGGCCAACCGCCAAGTTTCGACAAGAATATCTTGTTAATATTGTAATAATGTTTCATCGCCGATTGCATCTCCCCGACTTGGTTGTTGCACGGCTGTCGATTCTCCCTCAAGATTCAGACATTTTCCAGACATCCCCTATAACATAAGTACTACATTGCGCGTATTCACTATAATAACGTGTTACGGTATTGCGAAGTAACGTTGTCTGTTTGATAATCACGGGTTGTCGAGAAATACATGTCGCGCTCCTTTATTTCTTATTCCGCTCATTGTCGGAGAGATAAAAAAAAAAATTATACTTCGCGAAATGTCAATCGCCGTGGTGACAGACACAATACTTGTCTACATATCTCCTCTCCCAAATTCGCAATGCGTTAAAAATATTATATTTTTTGCTTTTCTCCTCGTAATATCATACGATTTTGAATGTGAGCTGTGTCACGCTGATAAGTACATGATAAGCATAGCAGGAAAGTTGAACGACATGAAAAACCGCACGATATGAGTCAAATAAATGCTTTCACGAAGGGGCTGGGGTTCGCTTAAAACACGAGGAGACACATGCTGTCGTATAAAAATCTGATTGATGAATAATTTATTTTTTTTACTTTCAAGTGTTTTATCCCGAATGCTATTACAATTCGATCTGCGCATTTATCGTGATCTATTGTAATAGATTGTATCACGGCACGTGTCAATTCGTGAGTAGCAGAACAAATTGAAAATCTTATTAAAGGAGTAAAATATAAATACAAGATAAAACATTTCCACCGAGAAGGAAGATGAGCGCCTACTTTTTAAAAATAAATAAATAATATTCAGGCGCCTATTTTTTAAAAATAAAAAAGGTATGTGATGTAATGTAATGAAGAAAATATCTACATTTGAAAAGAAATATAATTATTATTAATATAAATAAGATATATTGAGAAATAACACTGAGAGATTAATGTGTAGTCTTAGTTGTAAAAATTTTTTAAATTTACGTATAAATTTTTTGAATTGACATTATTTAAATTTTATTACTTCGGATGACTAAGAACCATGCAGACATCTATTTAATATATTGAACCTAAAAATAATATAAAAATAATGTAACATAAATATTACGCATTTTTTAAATATCTTTTAATTAAATAAACACATCTTTTGACATTCAGAATATGTTTATTCTGTTTATTATTATTTTTTTATTATGATATCTATCTCAATTAGCAGAATAATGATAGAGTGATATCTACCCAGACAACACAAAATACTAAAAGATAATGAAAAGAGACAACTTTTTTAAGTTGTCTTTCTGATAAAGCGAAAAGGTATATAAAAGATGACGAAAAGATATTGTTTTTAGATTGTCTTTTCAGCAAAAGATATCTATAAGACGTCTTTTAGTTTTGTCGAAAAGACAACTTAAAAAAGACTTCTTTCTATGGTTGTCATTTTCGCAAAACAAAGGTCGACTAAAAGATATCTTTTCGTATTGCCGAAAAGACAACATGAAAAAGATTCCGTTATTTTGGTACTTTTTATCACTCATTCGCGAGCAGGACGCGAGATCGCCATCAAATAGACGTGATGAAGTTCAGTTTCTCGTGTTTGAAAGTTATATAGGACAGAATAAAAGATCCAGCATTATGAGAAATTTTATTCGTGTTCTAATGAACACTAATAAAATATTTTTTTTGTAATCGAGTCCCCAAAGGGGATTATGATGAAAGATAATGCTTCTTGTACATAGGACACGGTAAACATTGTAGGAAATGGGACGTATATTGTCGCAGTCATGCAATTTTTTATTTCGTTTTGTATAAAAATTAATTTAGGAATTCGATGTATTAAATCTAATTATTTATATTATTATATGTATCAAAATCTAAAAATCAAAAGAAGTTAAAGATAACTAAAAGATCCATCCAAAGAAATCATCCTTTAGTTATATGGATAAGATGACTAGCAGTGCGACATCTATCGTCTTTTAGTCATCTTTTCGTCGACTATATTCTTTCATTAAAAGTATCTTTATAACAATTTAGTTGTCTTTTAGTCATCTTTTAGACGGTTTTGTGCTCTCTGGGTATATATAGTGACATTTAATAAAGCAAAATAGACATCATTATGAAGTTTTTCACATCACTCTGCTAAATTATTATTGAATTTTGCATTTAGACATTATTATCCAACTGATGATAATTCAACTAATATATTTTGAACATTATCTATAAGTTTTATTCTTATTATCTATTAATTTGCTCAAAATCTAATCATCGTCCATTTATAATATAAAAAATTTGAAGTTTTATTATTGTTTATTATTTTAGAGTATAATGTCCACGTTTTCGTGATGCTTTTACATGAATTAGACAAGAACGAACAATTAAAGTTGATTATTCATGTTATTATATGATTATTCATTGTTTAATCTATATAATAGTATGGAAAAGAATCACAAAAACATGGATTACTTTACGAGATTTGATACACGAAAAAGACTGGGATGTCTTTCAGATTTCTGTCCGATATAAGTAAGAATCTTTTTTGAAGAAATTTACACTTACGTTTTGTATGTCAGATAAACAGTCGGTAACAATGATACCTCATGGTCGGTAAATATTCAATAACGACCGCGTTCCAGAATTTATTGAAGAAGAAACGTTTTGTTTGCAGTATCTATTTTTTGATTGATCAAACTCCAATTAATTTAATCAATGATTAATTTAAGAAATAGAATTGTTTACACATCCATAATTACGACAAACAAAATTGACGATTACAACTGACTTGCTGCATTGTGATTGGCTGAAATAGAGAACCAATCAGTCGCGAAATCGTCAATCCACAATCTGATACGAGCATAAGGCAATATTTCGAAATACAAATTTGTTGTCCCTAATCTCTAAATTTAAACTGATTTTGTTTTAATTGTTTATATAATAATTGTTAAAACATGAAAATATATTTTGTTTTTAATTGAAATCATTGAGATAATTAGTATGCAATACAGCAATATAAATAAATTAGATAACTTATTTGAGTATTACATTTAAATTGTAAATTTATATTAAGAATAAGCACATTGCATGTTAAACATACAATTTCTTGAAATGTTAAAGCGATTAGAACTCTCGATTGTCACTAATTAACCAATTTAATGGAGGATCTTCTGATTGGATGAGTCAATAGGCGCAAATTGGCAAAGTGGCAAGCATGCTCGCCGAGCAAATGAATATAATTGGTTACTTATAGATCATCCAATCAATCATATTCAATCGCTCGATTCATACGCATTCTTAGCCGCTTTGCTATCTTGAACTCCAATGGCTGTGTTCAGCAGACTCAACAGTTGAGTAAGCGCTCGCTGCTATTTTATGTATTTTTCCACATCTAAAATGCTGATTGGATGATCTAAAAAAATACACCAATAAGCGAGCGCTCACTCAATTGTTGAGTCCACTGAATGCAACCGAATGTAATGAATCCAAGGGAAAGGGAAGGACAAAAAATTTATCTTTACATAAAATTAAAATACTTATATCAAGGGTAATTTTCAAGAATCTTGAGCGAACTTTCTTACAAATAATGCATTGGCCAATGAGAATTTAACTTTTTGTCATAAAAATGATTTTCATAATTTAATTATTTTTTCTTGTCAAAATTTAGGAAAGAAGGCAAACACTTACCTCTGTTTCCCTTGCTTACGCCCATGTCAATAAATAAACTTCAATCGACTATTGTTGTGAATGATCAATTGTGCAACGTGGTTAATTGGAATCTTCCCATTTTGTGTTTGGCCGTACAGACTCTTCATGATGTGATGTTATCACATTGCCAATTGAACAATTTATACTCCGATCTTCTGATTTGTTAAGCCAGCAGAAAAATTCCGAGCACTGGATAGTTGTGACAGCTGTGGCCAATCGCAACGTCGTCAAACGGGCTCCCCTCTCCACAAGAAATCAGCTGCCAGATCAGCCGGATTACTTTCCTTTTCTGGGGGAATCAAAGTAGATTCGCAGGCACGTACTTGTGCGTGTAAAATATCGAAGATTTTGCTTTCGATATAATTTGTATAGAAAAAAAAAATCAAGAAACAGTATTTCGATTCGTTGCGTCGTTTATATTTCGCGAAAATACAGAGTTGATTTGGTGAGAAATCTGAGAAATACTATTACTTGCATTCAGCTTAACAGGATTTGAACAATTAGCACGATTAGCACCATCCAACGCGCCCCAAAATTTTCCCAGGCGGATAATTTAGTTACAGAATGGCCGGGAATTTTTGGCAGAGCTCGCATCAGTAAGTTTGAAAATCGTAATAAAATTTCAACAAACGAATTTCAATTTTTACGAGGTTTCCTGTTTTCGATAGCCAACAATGGTTACTGGATAAACAGGACTTAATCAGAGAACGTCAACATGATTTGTCGGTACTAACGGAAGAGGAGTATCAAAAAATATTTATTTTCTTTTCTAGCAGTAAGTTGAAATGATCTTTTCACATCTGATGGAGATTTACAAATTTGTTCTAAAGTATATCTGTTAATCGATAGAGCGCATCTTGTGTCTCTTTCTATTAGCATTGTTGATAGATTGTCAATTCTCACAAATTATAAAATCTGATATTAAATAAAATACACATTTAATATATAAATAATTACAAGATATATAAAAAGTGCACAGTTTCATCTGGAAAAACTCTGCTTTGTTCTTTGTATCTGTTAACGGAAAGTATTAAATAGTTCAATATATTTATTTCAATCGTCAATTATTAAATTCATTAAAGCAAAGATTTAACATTTACTAAGCTGTAATTGACTGTTAAATACAGAAGTTTGTACATTTTGTCACACCATTACTATGTACGAACATATTTTATATGTAATATAATCTGTAATTACATCTGTATATAAATCCTGTCACTAGTGATACAGATGATAGGTGAACAATTAAAATTGAGGCAACAAGTGGTAGCTACTGCGACAGTATATTTTAAAAGATTTTATGCTCGCAATAGCTTAAAATGTATAGACCCTCTATTATTAGCTCCTACTACTGTCTTTCTGGCATCGAAAGTAGAAGAGTTTGGAGTAATTTCTAATAGTAGACTGATATCAACAATGGGAAATGTAAGTAAGTTCCATGATATATTATATCTATTGTTACAGTTCATTGAGGGATCAATATGCATGTAATTAAATAATTCTTTAATTAATGTTATTTTTTTTTTATAGTTAAGAACAAATTTAGTTACGCGTATTCGCAAGAATTTCCATATCGCACAAATCATATCTTGGAGTGCGAGTTTTATCTTTTGGAACATTTGGACTGTTGTTTAATAGTATATCAACCATACCGTCCCTTGTTAACATTAATTCAAGATGTAGGACCAGATGATCAGCTACTTATGCTTGCGTGGCGTATTATTAATGATAGTCTAAGAACAGACGTGTGTTTGTTATATCCACCTTATCAAATAGCTATTGGTAAGACAAAAATAATTGTTTTGTTAGTCTAGCATTACAAAAGAATTTAATGACAATTTATATATTTTTTTACAGGCTGTCTGCAAATAGCTTGCGTGATATTACAAAAAGATCTCAAATCGTGGTTCGCAGAATTAAATGCAGATATGGAAAAAATTCAAGAAATAGCACGGTATATAATAAATTTATATGAATTGTGGAAAAAGTATGACGAGAAAAACGAGATGCCAGCAATATTAGCTAAAATGCCAAAACCAAAAGCAGCGCCACAACGTTGACAGCAAGCTCTTGATTCGCCGAATGTTTGGGATTCATGCTAATGCAGTGAAATGCTTCAACTAAAAATCTGTCCTTTTTCCCGATATATGCACACTATCCGAGATACATATACAGTTGACAATGAATATCATTCTGCACTTATATCTGCATGAAAGTTTTGATCCATATGTAAAACTACGTTTTAAAATGTCTAAATGATAATAATGCAGTATCATTTAATATTTCTATATTTGATACTCAATATAACGAGAATGCTACAATTAAATAATTATAATTTGATTTAATGTTTATTATCATATAAGTACAATGATCTATTAATTTATATTTTTATCTACATGTTTCATTTGTATACAATATTAATATTGATTTAAAATATCAATATGTATATTATTTATAAAATATACATATTAAAAATCATTTTTAAAAATTCGAATCATGCTATATCGAGATTTATATATTAAATTTGCTTCAGAAAAATAATGTTCAGAAGATATTGGATTGACAACTGTATTCCGATGGAAAATTTATTTATTGTATGCTATAAGAAATTGTAACAGATTTTAGTGTGATGAACCGAATTGAAGAATTCTGAATAATTCCTTCCTCATTGTATAAATTTTATAATTGGGGTAGAATAAAATAGACAACAAATTGAATATCTAAAAACTTATTTAATTAAATCAGTATCACATTTGTTGCATTATCAAAACATAGTCCAATCTGAAAATTTAATTAGCATCGATTAAAAAGAAAAACTTATTGCTTCCATATATGTGAATAAAGAGTGTAGAACATCTTGAATTCTTCGATATTTTCATTTATATAATTGAATAATTAATTTGGTTTTTTATTACTAATGTGTTTTATATGCTTGAACGATGCTCGGTTGGTAATAGAGAAAACTGAATGTTTTTTTTCATTTCATTCCTTTTTTTAATAGTTGTTTCAGGCAAATAATTATTTATTACGCAGTTATTTTAATATTGCCGATTGTTTTTATGAAAAATGTAATAATTTATTTTTGTACTTACTCATTCGCGCGATGAATCCCTTATTATCTTCCTGTTGCATAACAATCTTCTGGAATTTTGTTAACTTTTTTCACGTCTTGGTTGTTTCAATTATTCTTTATGTATTTTCTGAGTATGAGGATTGAAGTACAATTTCTCACACATCATACACGCAGTATCTATTTTCGTCTTCTCATTTCGTTTATGTTGTCATTAACCGTTGTTAATTAATAAATAGCTCTTGTTTATTATTTATACAAATTAATTTTTTTTATCATTATCTCTGTTATTATTAAATTCGTAAATTAAACTTAGAAAAAAACATTAAAAAATTCTTAATTTCTGTTTTCTTAAGCTGTGAAATCAGAGACAGGAAAATTGTCAAGAAATACATATGAATTTTTCTATAATTACATCCATACAACTTAATAATTTTTTAACGATGAAATCATTTTGGTTTAACAGATCGGACTTCAGTAAAAAAAAGTGGTGTGTATAAGAAATTAACACATTATAATAGTAACAACTAACTTTGAATTTTTATTAACTTATAGACAAAAAAATAAATCTACAATATATTTCTTCATACCCAACTTTTCAATTTTTATTGATTTTCATTTATCATTTTTACGCAATAAAATTATTTTTATACGCTTACCATTAAAAATTTCTTAAATTTTAAGTAATTTTTCATGGTAAACATAAATTACATAAGTAATTTTATTGCGTAACAATGATATTTTTAAACCTAATTTTGTCGTTCAATCCAACACAATCGCTATCTTTTTCTTTTAACTAACTACTTGAACGACGAAAGAGTGGTGAAATAAGATAGAGTTGCTTGCAACACCTTAAAATTCAAACTGATTAAGTATTTCTATTATATTGTAAATGTTGTAGAATCGTTCTTACCGAAGCATAATTCTGCAACGACATCACGTACATATTGCCAGCCGTTAATGTACAAGGCACAAAACTCCTATGAAGTAATATACTCAATAGCTGTGTCATTCTTCGCGATGTTCTGTACCACAGCATGTTGTATCTAAAAATAATTAATTCAATATATAATATTTTATTTCTATAAATAAATTATTTTTTAATATCTATTCACTCTAGATTTCTTGCAGTGAAATCTCATTCCAAAAAAGTGAAAATACAATGATCCTTCACTTCTTGAAAAACAGTGATAATTTTCACTCTTTTTAAAGTGAATTTTCACTTTAAAAGAGTGAAATGTTATTTTTTTGGAGATTTTACTGCAAGAAATCCTCCTTTAAAACGAAAATTCTTGTCACTCTTTTTCAAGAAGTGAAATATTTTTTTTTTTCAAGGGTATATTTTCATTCTCTTGGAGGGAAATTTCATTGTAAGAAATTTAATGTTGAAATATAATATTTAAAATTTGAAGAGAACAAAAAACGATAATAAATAAAATGTTATTAAAGAAAACTACAAAATATCAAGAAATAAAGAGAACAAGTTTATTCTCTTCTGCATTACAGCTTCATAAAGAAGAAAGTTTTAGACACTTTTTTCCGGAAAATCTGTGTGTTCTGTTTTTTTCTGTTTTGCTACATCGCGTGAATAACTTTGGTATGATATATTTACGCTTTATAAAATATATCTGCGCTATGGTCCATTACTTCTTGGCCGGGGTAACTCAAAACGAAAAGGTGTATGAAGCCACCTATTAACATTGCTATGTATGTCAACAGCTCTGTTTTTTTATTCATAAAAATAATTATCTGCAAAATGATTAAATTACAGATTGATTGAAAAAAATATAAGACGATTTCTAATCGCCAGCGTGTATCGTCTTAAGGACGTTCTGCGATTGCAGTTGTGCACAATCTAATGAGCACATTTTTTTTTAGTGCTCATCATTATGAAAATTTTTATGAAAATTTATTTCACTTTTATATAGTATAAGATAATTCCATAAGTGTTAATGTTTATACAAGTTCAAAGCAATTTACTGTTTCGTCAAACATTTGCGAACATTCACCTGTATTTCGGAAACTAAGCTGTTTAGAACACATGTTTATATGGACTTTTTTACTTGAAATAAACCAAAGAATCACTCTATTGGCAACATACTTAACTAACACCCTGTATACATATATGTGCGTGTGTGTACACAGGATGTCCCGAAAGTTTTTGCCAATCGCTTTTATGTAGATAGAGCGGACTAAACTGAGTCGAAAAGTCCTCTATCATTTTGCAATTTTCGCAATAATTAACAAGATATTAATTACTAAAAATTGCCAAATATTAGTCTTGAATAATTTTGTACTCAAATACTATCAACTTTACAGAAAAACTGCAGACAAAAATCATTTATTTTCTTCTCATAAAGTTCTGAGAATTTTTTCAGAATTTTTTCAAAATTGTTTAATACCATATTTTCTCATGTTGGTAAAAATAAGAAAATGCAGTACTAAAAAATTCTGAAAAAATTCTTAGAGTTTTATGAGAAGAAAATAAATGATTTTTGTCTCGTGCAGCTTTTCTATAAAGTTGATAATATTTGAGTAAAAAATTCAAGATTAATATTTAGCAATTTTTAGTAATTAATATCTTGTTAACTATTGCGAAAATTGTAAAATGGTAGAGGACTTTTCGACTCAGTTTAATTCACTTTATTCACTCTGTATATATGTATATATATTTTAAACGCTTCAACTTTAAAGTAAAATATCTCGATTTTTAATTCCATTTTGAATATTGAGATTTAAAGCACATATATTCAGGACACTAAAACAAGTTTCTGTAAGTTTCAGAAAAATCTAAAGAAAATGGAATTTCCGGAGAACGTCCTTAATATCAACGTCTTATCATAATACCAAGCGCGCTTACTTGAAATCCAAGGAGACTCATACCGATAAAATTCATGATAATCATTATAAGCAAATATATTTTGAAAAAAGATTCTATTAAATCGACATATCTGAAAGATATACGATCAGATACATTGACGTAAAACACATTGCAATATAAGTGAAAATTTCAAAACTCACTCAAGGCTCAGTTGATGTTTCCATAAGAGAAGTACCATTTCGTGATAGATAATGTCATTATTCGATTCGCAATTATTGTAAGTTACCTTTACATCCTTAACGAAAGAATTTTTTTTTAAATTTATCGTCAAGGTCAGATTTTCTAGTCGATACCTTTGAAATACGATTAAAATTTTATCTACGGTACACGAATACTTAAGGGACAAAATAAATTTTTCTTTTATATTAACATAGTCCTCAGATAATTCCTGCTTTACTGTTTTAAATACTGAATCGTAACTCGGGTCCTAATCAAAATTTTTAGCAAATGATGAGTGGATAAAAAGAGTTATTTTTTTCGAAAATCTAATTTGCGATAGAGACATCTAAAAAAAGGTAAAAGGATTAGAAATAAAGACAAAAAAGTAAATGATCCTTTTTGACAAATCACCTAATAAATGATTTTATCAGAGTTGGGAATATTACCTTAAAAAGTAACGTGTTACCGTTACCGTTATTTTTTCATTACTTTTCGGGAAATTGTTGAATTCGCTCCCTCCAAGGTTGGCAGTAATACTTGTAACACTGTTACTTTGTTGATCATTACTTTATTATAATAACGATTTGATAATGACATTGTCAATTTTTTATAACGATAATTGTAACATCAGAGTTAGAAAAATCGATCATTACTTGTAACGGGTTAAAAAAGTCATTCATTATTAAAAAAAAAAAAAATTTCTTTTTCCATTAATTTGTAACGCGTTACTTTTTTACTCACGTTACGCGTTACTCATTACTTATTACGTTTTTTAGTAAGTAACGCGTAATGATAACAAAAAAAATACTTTTCAAAGTGACTTTTCTAATCTTAGCGTTTAGTTAGTTAGCATTATCGTCATAAAAAATTGCAATATCGTAATCAAATTATTTACTACAGAAAGTAACAAAGTAACTGAAAAGTAATGTTTGTCAACCCTGGTTTGCTCCCTCATATACGATTTTGATAAAATTAGGCTCATTCGATGCATTTTTGCACGAAAAACGACCGAATCTGGAAAAAAACAATTATCAGAAGCTAAACTCAACAATTACCGAATTTAAATTAAATATTATTTTTGAATTTTAATATCATTATTAAGAATGTATTTCAAGATTCACTTTCCAGTGAAAATCCGTAGTATGCATGTAAAGTGAATTACAGATTTTCAACAATGATAATAATTACCGGAATGCAGTCTGAGATATAAAATATATAAAACATTTTTTAAGAAATAAAAATGAGAAAGTAAACATTTTATAATTATATATTTATTATAAGTAATAACCTTTTATTAATAGATTGTTAAATATACATTCGTATACTTACACAAGCATTAAAAAAAATTTTAGGTATTTCATTCATTTGTTATATCGACACAATGTGGGTAACTAGAAGTATATTTCTAGAGACAAAAGCAAAACATCTTTTAGCGCCAACAATATCAAAATATGATTCCAATCCAATCCAATCCATTCAATAAAAAGTTAAAGTAAATAAAGTAACTGAATCGTTATTGTTATTACAAAAATATAATGACATTACCGTTACCGTTAAAAACAAAAAAAAAAGAACGATCATTACCGTAAAAAATAATTCATGCAGATTCATGCAGAAGATTTTACATAGTTTATCCCTAAATACAAATTATGATCTAAAAATTTTGATTACCCGAGTTATAAAGAATTTAAATCAGGAAAGTGTGTAAGAGTCACCTGGAGAGTCATTTAATGAGTTAAATCAAAACTTTTTAGAAAATAAGTGCTATAAGTACGATACCCAATAGCTGCGAACAGACCGCACGCGTGCTGCGTGAGTGATATGTAACTCGTATCGTTTATTACCATTGAAGTCACACCCAATATAGTCACAATATATGAATGGACTAATACAGGATAGTAATATATCTCTCTATCGAAGCTATAGTCGACATCGAACAAATATATGTAAGGGCGTGATGTATTGAGAGGCTTAAGGAAATTCAATATAGGCACTATTAGTGGAACCATCAAGTAAAGGCTCATCAACGAAAACATTATAACTGCAATTCACATTATTACTATAATATAAAAATTCATCAACGAATACGGAATCAAGCTACATTACTTGAATCAGACGCAATGTGCAATTCACAATCACGCAAATAGTGAGAGCAATATACATATGTTAAGAGTGATGAGTTGACGTTAAAAGTCAAAAGACACGTAAGTGTCCATTCATTACCGGCATAACTTAACGACATTTTTCTTCCTAGGAGAGCATACTCGTGCATAATTTTTACCTCCGAGAAATGCGTGAAAACGCGCCAGTGATAGTCGATCAGCGACAATAGATGTACTATCTGAGGAACAATGAACAAAACGAAGGTTACAATCTATATGTATATCCAACTTTTTTAAGGAGTCAAGTGAAAAATCACATCTCATGAAATCTTACATTTTTATTTTTTATGATTAGGAGGAAGAGTTTAACGTGAGCGCCGACTGCAAGCAGAAAAATGAATAAGGATTCGCAGTCCTCGGTCAGGTTTTTCCATACTTCCGATAATTTTATAAACTGAAAATCGCCGATAATAATTGCGAACATCTCTGCGCATCTTTAACGTTCCACCTACCTACATTAAGAGCAAAGTAAGTAAGTTAGTATGTAAGAGTATTGTCGAGAATAAAAATAATTTTAGACACAATAAAACAATATCACAAATAGTAGAATGACATTAAAAGACATAATGACATTTATTTTGATTTATTAAATGTACATCACTTAATCGTCACTTTGTGCTTTCTCCATTTAGGCTGTTATTTTTTATAATTTTCTTATATATAATATAAGACACACACACATTCACACGCACGCAGAAAGAGAGAGAGAGAGAGAGAGAGAGAGAGAGAGGTGTATATGTGTGTGTGTGTGTGTGTGTGTGTGTGTATAGTAGAAAGCCCCCTAATATGAGATAGCGGCATTTCTACTAAATTAACGCTATCTATTGGTTCCATGAATTTATTGCTCTTGAATTGAAAACTGTTTAGTAGAAAATTCATTATTATCAGATCATGCCTGTAGTCAGCATAAAAAAAAATTTTAGAATTTTAGAATATCTTCAAGTTTCATTGAGATGAGCCTTTAAATATTGTTTATTATTTAATAAATAAATATTTGGCAATAAATTCTTCATGCAGTAAGATAGAGTAAGGTCATACTAATAGAGAAATACGGGATATATTGAATTGCTACAGAAGTTAGATTTGATGATTGCAAAATCGTAAGGCGTGGAAATCGTAATATGAAATGCCCAAAGTATTTCTAATATGAAATAACTCATGCATAGTGAAAATCATTGCTAAAGTATAAATGTTACTGTACAATAATAAAAAGGAAAACCGGAATGAACGTTGAGTGCCTATTTCTGCAAAGCTTAATTTCAACTACCTGAAGACGAGTTCTGGATATAATGTATCGCATACTCATTTTTCGCGCACTCTGACTGTGTTTGTTTATATTTAAGAAACATTAAATAAAATTTTTTAGTTGCAAACTGATATACTTTGCGTTTTACTATCGATTTCTCAAGGCATCTCATATTAGGAGCACAATTTTTTGACTTTGCGATTTGCTCACTTTTTATATTTCTTTAATTTAAAAAAAAATGAAATTTGAATTAAATTTTATATAACATTACCTTAAAGCTTATTAAATTCCCTTCAAAATGACCTATTATTTTTTTAAATTCTGCCCATAGATTTCTAGTATTTACTCAAAATAAACTCGGTATCTCATAATAGGGACCTTTCCTCTATATATAGGTAAAATTTAATATAGAATACATATGTATACGTTTAAATTATATTTTTTTTGTATGTGTTATAATAAATATTTAACATATCTTCGGTACCTTAAAAAATTTGGAAGACTACTTCGCGAAAGTCATACTTATGCTTGTTCACAAGGTTACATACTACTATAAAAAATAATGGAAATTTACCTCAAGAAAACCGATGCTGGCAACAAATATTATAAATATGGCCGGTAACATTGTCTTCTCGAATATACTTTGCGTCGGCCAAGTACCGAGTTTCGACATGAGGATCTTGTTAATATCGTAATAATATTTCACGGCCGACTGCATCTTTCCGCCGTGATTTTGCATCGTGGACGTCGAGTCTCCCTCAAGATCCAGCTGATATTTTCCGAACAGTCTCCTATATTCAGATACTATATTGCGCGTATCCGCTAATAATGTACTACGTCTACGCTAACAATGTCCAGATAATCATAGGCTGTCGGAAACGCATGCCAATCGTTCCTTCATTTCCTATTCATCATTGGTGGAGAGAAGAAAAAGAAGACATTGTACGTAGAAATTGTACTTCGCGAAACGTCAATCACTACGGCGACACAAGCGATATTCATCCACATATGTCCCACCCATAACTCACGTTGCATTAGGAGTATTATATTATTTTCTTCTTTTCTTTCTTGCAATACCATATAATTTTTCATGCGTATAGTGTCACATCGATAAGTACAAGATAAACGTGACAGGAAAATCGAGCGATACGAAGAATCAAGCGAAACAAATTACGTGTACGAAGGTACGTAACACAAACGGACATGTATCGTCATAAAAATTTAACTAATAGATAATTCATTTTTAATTATTGAGTATTATTATAACTTAATGGTTTCTGCAACTACCGCGATTTAAACGTGTTAAGAGACACGTTTGTATCTTGTGTCAAGTGTACGGCAAAATAGGCAGTGCATCTACACATTATATTAAAAAAAGTGCTTTTACTTTTCGTTTACATGTCTTGTGAACGGAGATATTGCCACGCAAAGTATAAAATGGTAAATTTCATTTCAATTAAGATATGTCATCGTCGTCAACATCAGAAAATGTTGACCTTTTCAAATTTTGGACTATATCAGCATTGTTCCGTAAGATTAACTGAAATCAAGAATCTGATTAAAGATAGGTTCTAGTTAAAACAAGATAAAAACAAGACAAATTTTCACCGAGAAAAAAAATAATTCAGTTGCTTCCTAAAAAAAAAAAGATATAAGCCACGTGATGAAAAATTTCATACAATAGAGAAGAAGAATAACGCTGGAAAGAAAAACAGATTCTTTGGGCTTTTGGTGGCCCAACAAACATTTTCGCAAGAAACCGGAAGGAAAAGAGGGACCCTTTGGGTGACTTGAAATACTTTTTCGCAAGAAACTGCGGTTATTATAAAATTGAATAATATATACAAAATTGAATAATTTTCTTTTTATAAATATGTTGTACTTGTAGAATGAGTAGATCCAAGATTATAATATTCCAATTTATTGCTATAAAATAAGTTGTGTCAATTTTTGAAATTAAGATCATCTTCGCTTCAGATGACTAAAAAAATCCTATTATCATATCCTATTATCAAAAAATAATATAGTGTAACATATTTTTTTACATGTTATATGTCTCATAAAATATTCCAACACGAATATTATTTATGACTTTTGATTTACATCCAATATATAAATACCATGATACACATAAAATAAAATAATGTAACACATTTTTTTATATAAAATCATATATGTCTGATAAAATATTCCAACACGAATATTATTTATAATTTTTGGTTTACATCCAATATATAAGTATCATGGTATACATAAAATCTTAAGCAATAAAACGTAGCAGCAAGCGAATTAGCCAATCACAATAGAGACCGTAAAGCCGTAACGTAAACAGTAGTAACATGTTAATTTTCTTACAGCTTACGTTTTAATACTTATATTTTTTGTATACCATAGCCTTAATAATAAACAGTCAATGACAATGAGATATCAAACAGTCGGCAAATATTCGATAGCGACTGCATCTCAAATTCATCAAAAAAAGAATTTTCCCGGGTTTATTTTTTATTAAATTACATTTAATTTAATCCATAATTAATTCAACCAGTATAACTATTGAAAGCAAAATTTCTAATATAATTCATGACATCAAATTTTTTTTCTGCGTGATAAAAAATAATAATTTTATTAATGTCAACAAAATAATACAAATATTGTTTGATAAAATAATCGGTTTAGAAAGTCACATCTTAGTCCAATTTCACTAGTTGGTAAATATGAACTATTAATTTATATTTTCATTTACACATCTAGGTTCATCATCTATATAAATTAACTGTCGATTTAAATTAGAAATATGTTATTTGTATATGGGCGTGCGTATATGCAACAAAAATGTTGATTCAAAATGCAAATATCAATATTCTGCCAATTTATTAAATCATATAATTCAGAAACATGTTCAGAAGATATTGAAATGACGATTGTATTCTGGTAGAAAATTTATTTATTATATAAAAAATTGCAACAGATTTTATTATGATAAATCAAATTGATGAATTCTGAATAATTCTTTCGTCGTATGAATTTTATTATTGGAGTAAAAATAAAACAAATAACATTAAATATATAAAAACTTACTTCATTAATTGAATATCACACTTGCATTATCAAAACCTAGTCCCACCTGAGAAAGCTTTGGCATCGATTAAAAAGAAAACACTATTTCTCCAATCTGTCAAGGATGCTTCTCCAGTTTTGCTAGGCACTTTTTTGGAACAATATTTTTTTTATGTCACATAGAAAACACAACAATATACATTTAATGCTTATAATTAAATCTTGTTAATCGAATATTAACTTGAGCCTTTCGAATATCGTTTCCAAAACTTTTTTACATCATCGTGGCCAGCTTTGGTAACCACCATCGTTCTTTTTCTACGAGATGAAGATATAATATTTTGTTAAATGCAGCACTTATAAAATTTTTCTCTCAACAATTATTACATATGTAATATATTGTATAAACTATTTATATTTTAAAATAATAATTACCTTTCACTTTGCCAAATTAATACTCCGGTTGAGACTGCATGATCTCTGAGAACTTCGAAGTCAGTTTGTGAAAGAAATTGACTATATAGAACTCCTTCGCTGAACAAAAATCTATTTCTTTCATTTTCCCATAATTTAATTTGATCTACAATTGTAGGCGGTAATATAGGTGGTCCTGCTTCTATCATCTTACTATGTGCATGTTGTCGCAAATAGCTGTTGATATAAAATAATATTTACAATTT